TGGCATACGGCTTAGATTTTGATGATAGATTAACAATTACAGATTATAAGGTACGACTATGAATAGAGTTTGTTTAGATAAATGTATTTACTATAGAAGAATATCGTATTTGTATATTTAATAACTAGTTGCAATAAGTTTAAAATGTATTGTATCTACGATTGTAGTTGTAAAGGCGTCTCATGAAGCAATATAAGGCTATTTTATATCTCATAGTTAATGAAATAATTCAATTTTATATTAAAACTAGGGCGCTGAAGAAGGATTTATCTCCGTTAGTTGTGCACCATGTTTAGCAAATGGTAAACCTCTACCGAATGATTCCTTCGTTGAGGAGCCGGGTGATCTGCTTGATAAGCCATATCACTTCAAGGTAATTAAATTGTGTATTTTGAAAAATGAAAACTTTCAAACTTATGTAAATCGTTATAATCTTGTATAAATAGTAACTACTGTTACGATATAGATCTGATGTAGATATTAAGATACTACTTGATTATTGAAGTAATAAGTTTTCACAATAATAAAAATTTTCTAGCTTGCTTACCTAGTACAACAATTCTGCAAATCATATCGTTTTCACTCTTTAGGTCACAATTAGGAATGCTGAAATCCATAAAGCTCGATTTAGTAAAGGTATACTAGTCAAGTACAAAAGTTATGGCGAAAAAACGCACACCCAAACAGAAACCATAAATAATACATTATCACCAGAGTATAATCATACTCATACTGTGAATATATCAGTTATTACTCGAGACCATCTGGATTGGTTCGAACAAGGTTACCTAACATTTTATGTATATGGTAAGCAAGAAGATAGTGTCGCCGATCCAAGATTATTAAAGATGTCCACAAAGGTAAGACTACAGCTGTGATATCCTTTATCCCTTGTAAAATTTTAACTCAAACGGCAATTTTGTTTAAATAAGAGACGAACAACTTTAGATATTATTATTATCCATTGAAGCTTAATTACATTAAATATAAATATATACACTTGCATATGATTAACCTGAATGTTCGCATACACGCATTATCGTTATTTTCTAATATAAACGCAATAGTCTAGTCGATATTACAAAGTTTGGTGTATTGGAATATACTGGAAAAGCTAATTTATGATTTCAATTAATTATTAACTCATCAATTCCCAAGGAATTACGTGAAATGGACAGTATTCAGGATTTCAACATACGTAAGGATTTAGTAATAACACGTCAAGACAATGATGGTAGTGAAATTTCTCAATTGAAATCTGAAATATTGGCTCTAAAAAGAAAGCAAACTATCTTCCAAAAGAAAGAAAAACGCATTCAAGTAAACATTTATGCTTTTAAGCTTTCTACATGGTTATAGATTCATTTCTAGTTAATCTATATATAAATAATAATGATCATTGCACTTTGAAAAATCAGATATGAATGAAAGTATATGTTAATAATCAATAATATTGTTGTAAAGTATAGCATGTAATGATGAAAATTTCAAGCAAAAGATATTTTATCCTTTTCGTCTCTATTGACTATTCTCACACTGATAATATAGTAGAATTATAATAGAATTATGACATAATAACTCTGCAATGCTCATATAGCACGAATAAATGACAATAATAATATTATGTATAAATTGTTTTACATTTTGGTTATTTCTTCTGTAATAAAGGAACTTTGCCTAGAATGGGGTAAGAAACCTGTCGAAGAACAAAATTTCGAAGCATTCCATCGAGCTGTTACTGCAGCCTCTAATCACTATTCTAAAAAATTTAAAGCTACAGTGACGATACTCTCTACGGTATGCAATAGATGCTTGTTTAGCAGGCATCGTGTTCTGATGCGATACAAATTGTAATATGTTTTATAAATGATACAGTTCCTTCTAATATGTGTATAGAGGAAGAGAGTGATCATGCTATAGTACCAATATTAGTTTGAGACAAGAAATGTGACGTAGATAACACTTTATTTTGATTCTCAAATTGCAGATAATTCAAGGTCAGAAATTGGCCAGACAATCTCAAGACTTTGGTTCTACTGCGAGTGCTGGAAGCGATGTTAAAAACAGCAAAGCCTGTAATATTCAATAAGGCAATGAAGCTAAAAGTTGATATCATTTCATGGTATTAAATTAATTAACGCTTGATCAACATTGATTTTGTTCAATTCGACTGTCCATGATTGCCGTGTAAATAAGCTGCTAGGTTGGTTTTGTTCGTAGTCAAGATTTCAGTGCTCCTATCAAGGACTAAACCCTCCTCTCTATCTAAAAATGATACTACAGTGCTACTGTTATACTATTACCGTTCAGTAGAATGACTGTATGACTGAGCTGGAATAGCTTACCAATGGATTAACTAAGATAATCGCTTCAATAATTCACAGACCAACTGTAATAATTGTTACTCCTAAATTATTCCGAACTACTGGTTCACAGTAATGCTGAAACTGAGTGCCTTAGAGTAAGAATAACTTTATTACATACATAAAAAGGTTACGAAAAATTAGCAATAAAAAGGCTATAGCTAATAGTAGAACGTTAATCTGGCAATCTCTACTTGACAAATCTGAGAGGTTACTTAGCTCTCTCTCCAAGACAGTTTTATACGATCCGGACCCATCATATTTGTCAACATATTTTGAACCAAACTCTAACACAAATATTCTCATATACAGTAAGTAGGTCATTCTCGGCCTGCGGTGTGACCAATCTGAACCCAATCGTCGCAGTTTAAACAACAGTCTCGCGACCGATCCAAGATGGCGCTAACATAAAATCGATCAATATCGAATTCTAATACAGATCACAATATTACACCAACTTATTAAGTTAACTACTACTTCATTTGCTATCTTGCAACACTGGACGTAATCCAATACTAAGAATGTCGTAATCCATGGAGACCCTATATGATTGCCTGATAATTCAGGACTTGGAATCTCCAGAGTGTAAATGAAACTTGACAACTGCCAACGCTCGATTTTCTCTCTATGATCACTGTTGCATTTACGCTTTCACATTCTTACGAGATTACTAAAACTAAAAATGACAATGGCTACACCTTAAATCAATGCTACATTGCGATTGTAATTTACAAATGCACCAATTTTTCGCCCCGCTACAGCTACAGTAGTGTTGAGTGAGACTTCTTCTCTTAAGAGAAAAAATCTTCGAGGTCGCTACGTTAAATCACGAAGCCTACTCGATTGATATGACCGTATTTGGTAGGCGTCCTATCAACTGGATGCAATATCTGTACCATAGAAGTAATCGTTATGATCTCTACAGGCTACTGTGGTACAGTAGTCGTTGTGTTTCCACGCTTAGTTGTTCATGTTGGCACCACTCATTGGAAATGGGTGCCATCGAGATCAGATCGAGTAAACCATTTTCTGAAAGTTCTATCTCGATTGAGCAACATGCACTCAGTGTCTGAGTTAGTGGTAAGTAAGTAAAATGTTCGCTCGCTTATTTAGCTGTAATAATTAAATAGAATCAATTGTTTACTTTACTATTAGAATCGTTACTGTAGTAGGCAGACACTTTTCTATCATATTACCGTCACCGTTAAACAGTGAAAACTGAGCCATTTGGACTGTTAATTCAGGTTGGGATGCACAAGATATTTATGGTTAATGCTAGGTGTGCAAGATAGCCTGTTTGCATGTCGCGTCCGATGAAAAAGCTACAAAATGCAGCCCAAGGAAATCGTGAAATACAAAGAAAAGTAGAAAGATATTTCAATCGAGATATTCCATCTTTTATAAAATCGTTTATTACAGTTACACCTCGCTATAGAGCGTCATAGGAATGACAATAACAAGCTGTTTTAATTCTAGCCCAAAGGCGTCAATAATTACACAATGCCTATAGAAAATGACGTAAATGGTAGATCGGTACTTGACTCCTTGATGGGTACTTATTCAACTTAAAATCGGATGCCGGAACCGTTGAAGAGTAGTACACAACTTACATGATTTTCTAGATGATACATGTAGTATAGGAGGTTACAATGTTTCATATTTTATCATTAATTTCCCCCCCCCCAAAAAAGTGCATGTCTAGATATATAAATTCTGTCGCAAAATGAAGAGAATCCTTAACAAGTGAATTCAATGTCGAATAGTGTAACGGAGGGCTTTGTTAAAGTAGCAAAACGTGTTTAGAGAAACCCCAAGAATAATAGTTTATTATTTTTCTACATATGGTTATTTTAATTTGAGAATACAGTGTGTACAGTGCATTGATTTATTGAAAGTCAATGACCGATACCGTTGCTAAAACTAACTTCAGTGCCATTGACTCATGCAGACTATCCACACGCTACAGTAGATCATTCATTAAGGATAAACAACATTGCATCAATCGGAATATTGTCTTCATTAAGGATAGTATCAATCCTGCTATTCCATCTTGCCAATGACCTACGTACAACAACATTGATATCAAGATCAAGCAGATTTAGAATCATAATTGAATCGACAGTTTGCCACTACAGGATTGATGATTGTATTACTTCGATCAGATCTGGAGACCCAGTCTAAACCGTCATCAGCTTAATCTCCATTAATCCATCGTAGACCGTAAACACAGACAATCAGTGGTAATTAATTAAGGTGAAACATAGATACAGTATGCCGGCCCTTCGATACAATGGTTGTACAATGCAGCGTTGTACTTCTATGTTGGCTACTCCAGTCAGCTATACGACTATACAACGTTCCTATATATTGTGTTTCTACTCAGACATTTTGTATCGAGGACTCCACGTTGTTTGTATATTGGATTTGAACTCTTATTGACCAAGATGTCATTTTTTTCCTTTCCTTGTCTAAAAAACTGAAAATTCTATTTATAGATTGTATCATTAGACTGCAATTCGTTAGCCAATGGCGTTGCTATTCAACGCGATCCATGTGGCTATGACGTAACGTTGAATAATGTATGACAAATTTGAACCAATAACTGCGGTAGGTAAATTTAGCGTTGATATGGAAACCATAGAGCAATTGTCCAAGCAGAGGGCGAGTTACCTTTCGTCGTCTTACTTTTTTGTTGATTATAATTCTCCCCCTATCTACTCGTTAACAGATCCATTAAAATCTATAAACGATTGTCAAGATGAGCGGAGAAGCGTATGTAAACTAAAATCAAATGATAATTTTTAAAGTAGAAGAATATTTTTCCCTCTTTCGTACCTGTCCATCTATCCATTAAGAGATGGATTATTTTATTTTTCATCATTTTCATTCGGTCGTTATCATGATGGATTAATTTATCTTCTTTCAATATAGTGTTAAAGTAGCCGTTCGTGTTCGTCCTTTCAACTCTCGGTAAGGGATAAACTTTCTATTTTTTTGATAAGAGTATTCCTAGAACATTAGTGTACATTTATCCAATCATGATACGAGTCTAACTTTTATAACTTGGATGGATAATAACGAATCGCATAGCGTCTACATCTTATTTTTACATTACGCGTACTACAATATTATTCATTTTTCATCGAGCGGAAAAAGTACTAGTAACGGTTGTAACTTGTGTACTGAATAGTTATTACGATCAAGATAATTAAAAACAAATTTTCTAACTGATAGTATTTTCCATTCTTTTAGTGAGAAAGAGAGAAATGCCAAGCTTATCGTGGAAATGGCTGGTCCTCAGACCTCCTTAATTGATCCCGAAAATACTAGTACGTCTAAGCGAATGAAATTGATAGACTGTCATTGAGTATATCAACATTAGTGACGATTTATGGATGGATTACCTAATTTTTTCTCATAACATCAATAAGTATTTACAAATCAAGTAGTCCATTCTTATAATCTATTTTATAAAAATGAATTAATAATACGGTACGGTACATAAATGCATGTTCTACACATATCTCGTATAGCAATCAAATCCTTCATAGCTTTAATAATCTGATTTTTTCTTTGTTCCAATCTGCGATTTAATCGAATGTTGCTTTTATTTAATTTCCTAATTTTTATGATGGAATCGAACAGAGGCAGAACCGAAACGAGTAAGTGTGGAAAATAACCGCAGTTAATTGTATAATATCGTAAATTATGGCTGAGAATAATGCAAATTAACTTCAGATCGTCTACTCTATACTATACAGCCAATTGTATCAATATAGTAATAATAGTCTATAAATGAGATAATCATAACTTTTTCTTCTTTACTACATTATAACTATCTACTGCCCTAATTCATCATTCAAAATTAAGTTCACATTTGATTATTCGTATTGGTAAGCAAATTTATTACATATCGTAAAAAATAATTCATCAATCTGTAGTATTAAATTTAATGATCCACATGATATTTGTTTGTTTTGTAATTGTAATAGCGAACTATAAATTTATCGTATAAGAAATGGGATAAAGTAACTATACTATACGCGTATACGAAGTAGAGTAATAATTCATGCTAGCTCTTATACTGTATATACTCGTACTTTAATACTGGCATATACTAATATACAGTTTATTCGTATTTCGTGTAATAAAAGTAAAATTGATTATTGTATTTATTAAAGGTCTCATGATGGATTCATCGAAGACGATAATGGTGTCCTTGTCGGTACGGGCCCCAAGTATGCATCACAACGTGCTGTATTTGACGATCTTGGACAAGGTGTTTTAAATAACGCATTCGAAGGTATTACGATCTAGATATTAATATTTTATCATCATCGCCTTGTCATTGATCTATTAATACTTTATGAAATCGATACTTATAATAGAATACAGTATAATAAAATAGGAGCTGGTCTCATAACCTGATTTATACTTTAACACTACTGTATTGATATAGGTTATAACTGTTCACTTTTCGCCTATGGTCAGACCGGGTCTGGTAAATCTTATTCTATGGTCGGTTACGGTCCAAATAAGTAAGTTAATCTACTTACTAAATAGTATACGATCGCGTTTCTTTACGATATTAAAAAACTTCTAATATCGATCTTGTCAGCTTTTATAAGTTTATAATAGTTTAATAGACTCAGTACGGTTTTACAAATATCTACTATCTAATCATAAGTACTACATAACTTTAAGGGGAATCGTACCTATCACTTGTGACGAATTATTTAAAGCAATCGAAGCAGATAAAGGAGATACGGTAATAGATAAATCTAACTGTAATAAACTACTATATAGAGTAATTAGTTAATAAGTAACACAAATCGAAGATTGTAAACTTCGAGACTCTTAGATAATAAATAGCACTCTATTCTGACGAGTTACTGATATTTGTTATATTGGATTTGGACAGAAATATGAAGTTACGTTCAGTATGTTGGAAATTTACAATGAACAAGTTCGCGATTTATTAATCCGAAACAATCCTAAGGGTGGATTAAAGGTATAGAAAATAATA